TTGATTTTTTGTCAAAGCACTTAAGATATTCATTGCTATCGGGATGTTAAAGGGCCCATGTCATGGCCAGTTCCACTGATCATAATTACATTGTTGAGGTATACTAAAATAGATTTATACTGTGCAATTTTCCAAACTCACATTGGTTTCGCATACAGCATCTCTGTCAAGTATGTGTATTCAGCAGTATTCACTCTCTCCACTAAACGACTCGTTGGAGCTCTTGCCCCCCCCTCCCTGTGAGCCTAGTGTGCTCCGATTGGTCAGCTCGGCCACTCTGTTCTGATTAGTCAACCACCAGAGAGGCTCCGCCCATGTCTAACAGTGCTTTTTCCGGCTGCTCTCAGCGGAACATCAGTCTTATAATGGCGTCGGTACAGCCGTATATTTTATACGCAAACTAACCGAACTGTACCTACAACTGTTGTTATAGAAGAGTTTGACGGCCCCAGGGCCTTTGTCTTACGATGGGGTGGAGCTGAAGAGGCTAATCAGCGCGATCACGGACACCTGGCCGGAGCCGAGGTGCTAGCCAGCTGCCCGGAGTCAAACTGCAGCCCCTCTCTCTCTCCAAAGCGGCTCAGCGATCCTCTCCCCTCGACCACCTATCTCTGCATTTACCACAATAAATGTGCCGTGGTTTTGTAAACTCGTGTATGTCTCCTTGTCTTTCCGTTGTGGCCTACGAGCCGGTCATAACAAAGAGTAAGTTATTTTTACCTGTTATAAACTACTACTGTTTGATGAGAAATCAAATCATGGTTTGCTCTATATGAATGATATGTTATAGGAGCAAATCATTCAGGGAAGAAAGGATAGGCCTACTAAGTATTTCCATTAAACTTTATTTTTAGAAATGTACAAAATGAACGTAAATATACATATATACACGGTATATCGTCAATTACTCCCCGTTGTCGGCATCTTGCCTATAGCAGCCGGGGCTTTTTAGGACGATGCATCAGTGTGGTAGTCTCGTCATGTATTGTCCGGCAGGATCTGGCTGGACGAAATCAAATGCAAATCACAAAATATTAGAGAAACTTAGTTGTTTTAGATTAGTTAGTAGTAGTTGTGGTAGGAGTGTGGATCTATCTAATCAATCTAATGAACAGCTTGCCAGCTAATATGCTAACCTAGCTTTGTTTACCTTGGTAGCGAACACGATATGAACGTTAGCTCGGAGGAACGGCAACTATAATGTAGAGTAATAAAACTACTATGAACAAAAGCTAGTGGTTCATATTAGGCTAGCAATAACGTGTTTATAATTGCAATCTTATACGGATAGTCTGCTACGTTCGGTCATACATTGTAACGGTCATGAATACATTGTTTTTGCGCTAGCATGTATAGCTAGCCTCGTTAGCTATACATGCAGTATACATGTACTGTCACAATGTACGGCAAATCACCCGGAGTATACTGTATGAGCTGGGCTTGTTTAGTGTAATAAAACCACTATGAACAAAAGCTAGTGATTCATATTAGGCTAGCAAGAACGTGTTTTCCCGAGCAAACCCATGTCTAGCTCCGTTGGTTAGCTCGGTAGCATACACGCTACGCCAGCTATAATGTAATTACGTTTCGCGACTGACCGTACGGCAAATCACCCGGAGTATACTGTCTATGAGTATTTCGTGTGTGAATGCAGACATCTCCTGCTATGAGATACATGTACTGTATGCAAGGCCATCTGCTGATATTAGAGTTGATATATGGAAACGCTAGCAACTTAGTTAGCACAGTTAGCACTGTGTCAATGGCTTAGCAGTCTGACACAGTTTATACATTTAAACAGTCTTGTTTGATAAATACACAAATAACAATGCAAACTTACAGGTTGTGTACCCAAATCTTCCCCTGCTCCAAACGGTCCAAACAAACTAGGAATAGCATCGTCCTTCAGTTTCAAATGCTGTGCATATCCGGCCTCAAACTGGGCAATGTTTTGGAAGCTTTCGTCTGTGAAATGCCGGTTCTTCGAATCTCTGAAGGAACAGTGTTAAAAAGAAATTTCAACCACTGACTTCGTCGTGGTTCTTCCGTCGGTAGGACAAACAGCTCAGATTTCTCCTCACATTTCAGGAAACTGGTCCTTGGCAGTGGCATGACTGGATCGATTGTGAACTGAACCAGAGCTTCCAACAGTAAATGTTAGGCTGGCAGAGGGTGCGGCCAGCGCCGCTGGGTGTGGCCATAGCTCTTCGGGATTGGTCCATTTCGTTCCGGGTACCGCATGACATCATGCGGTACCCGGAAGAATCAAATGGGCAGTGACGTATCTCCAACGAGGCGCTTTGGGGAGGTATTTTCTGTGTTACCCCTAGATTCCACCGGGTCCGTCTGCGGCGCGTTACGGGCGCGTTACGGGCGCGTTACGGGCGCGTTACGGGCGCGTTACGGGCGCGTTACGGGCGCGTTACGGGCGCGTTACGGGCGCGTTACGGGCGCGTTACGGGCGCGTTACGGCTGCCCCGCGGTGCTCACGGCGATCGCGGCCACTCTAGTCAATGGGTGCTATTCCACCACACGCGGCGCGTTACGGCTCAGAAGCGTCCCAGAAGCGGCTCGGCGCAGGGCTCCTCTAAAATTAGGATCGAATCCTATTTTTGTGGCGGCGCAGCCATAACGTAAGGTCGGGCAAGCAGGAAGTGGAACGTTCAGAGCTATATATACACACACACAAACTAATTTTGCAGACCCTATCCCTCCGTAGTCTTTCAAGTAGGAGGAGAAATGCCAGCGTTCTCCTCCGGTTTACAGGCACTGTGTAAATTATATATATAGAATAATTATGATGATGAATGCATTTTTTTACCACTAAAATACAGCAACACATCTTTGATTCATGTCGTTTATAACTGGAATATTACAGTTATTATTAACTTTGTCTGTACAAAGTAGCCTGTCCAGGAAATATGCCCAAATCAACAAAAACTGCGAGCCGGCAGGCAAGACGCTCCGCTTCTGAAATGCTTCTGAAACGCGCCTGGTAGGGTATGACGCTGGAGGAGGCCGGACCAAAACCGCAACGCGGCGCAGACGGACCCGGTGGAATCTAGGGGTTAGAGTTTTACTCGCTACAGGGTGTACTTTGAGGGTTTTGACTCTGCACACCGTTTACATGCATAAAAACCTTCATAACACACAAGGGGACGGGTAATAACCGGAAAAGCATGACATGGGAGCTTTAAGAGCATTCCATGGAATATAACAAAAAGTGTATCTCAAGCCGGTTTCTCAAACTTACCTACCCCACCTTTAAGGATACACAGGGCACTCCAACATCTAGGAAAACCAAAAACACTGTAATAGTCAATATATTGATAGTTATATTATATATAAAAAAGCATAATGCAAGCGCTGCTAGTTTAGTGGTATCATACAAGATTCCCATTCTTGTGACCCGGGTTCGATTCCCGGGCGGTGCATGCAATGCTTCTAAATTTTGAGATCTGAGTAGCAGCAAAACTGAGGGCTGATTCTAGGCAGCCCTAACTTTGAGCTTTATCAAAAAGCTGAGTCTTAATCCTAGTCTTAAAAATGGATAAGGTGTCTTTAGCCCGAGCACACACTGAGAACACAGATGAGAATAAACCCAAGTCCAACATGCCTTCTCTGTATCTAAAAAACAATTGTTTTTTATGCAAACATCATTTACGAGAAAGAAAAGGATATCTTCCCTTTATAAAGTATGAGTCAACTGTTAAGTGCATCTGTAAATAACACTAATGTAGAAACATCAAACCTGGTGATCTGGTGATATCCTTTATGTAATATATTAATGTCGATATATAAAAACCTTGATATGTGGAAGGACGAGTAGGAGGGATTTATTGCCAAATTAGTGCAAAATTATAAAATGTTATGATTAAATGTCTGTGAACACATGAACATATGATGTAAAACAAACCCTGTAATCATTTTGAAACTGCAAGACGGTGTTGGGTGGGGGGTTTCTGGATTGGGCAAAGGCTCTTTTGTCCTTATAGATTTTTCTGTAGTTACATTTTTATTATTTGCCTTTGAAGATGAAAAAAAAAAGAATTATTATTGTTACATGTTTTCAGTTTTCTGGGGTAAAAAAGCATGTTGTTGTTTTTATGTATGTCACTAATGTATGACCTAAACTGCATTGTTAATTATGATTTGAGGGAAACATATTGTTTGTTTTTGACATCACAAATGTTTATAATCAGTCCATGGAAACCAAAAGCTGTGTTGTCTTTTCCATACAGCCATAACTTATTATATAATGTGATTATTAAAAGCCAAACCAGATTTTTCTAAACAATTAGAAAAGATAAGATACTAGAGGTACTTTATTGATCCCAATTTGGGAAATGTTTGCATTGCAGAAGCATAAAACAAAACAAGGCATTGCACATAAGTAGAAATTAAAGAGCAGAAATAAACAATTTAAACATCTAAACATTTAATTAAAACAGCATTTAGACGTAGAAAACATACTATCTATAAACTCTGACAATAAAACACTATTGAAGGGCTTTAGACATTATATAAAGCAGGATATTATTTACATTAAGTGTGTAGGGAATGGAATATTAAATTAAATATAAAATCAGAAAATAGTTTACCTTGACAAGGAATTGCAGTTTAGTTTAATAGGAAACATAATTGAAGTTGAAGTGAAGGAAGAATAGGAAATTGTTGCCCCTAAAAGATCTGAAATAAAAATCAAAATTAAGTTAATAATGTTTGCTTTTCTCTTTTTCTGTCACCTGTAGTATTTCAGCTCCAAAACACACAACAACTCATTTAAACTCTCTGAGATTGATGGTATTTGTAGTGTTTGCAGCAGAAAGGATTATGGGAGTTGAAGTGTTGGTGGTGTCTCAACCATTGGAGAAAGAAAGGCCTTGTTGCTCTTGTAGTTCCTCCTCCACTCCCTCTTGGTGACGGGCCACTGAGAGGTGGAGCTTCACTGAAATAGGAGAGCTTCAACTTCCCAGAATTGAAAGTGAAAGTTTGTCTGAGCGACAGAACAGCGGCACGTCTCTCTGCTTCTCTCTAAAGAAACACTCGACTGAATCCAGCAGCTTTTTCTCAACAACGCAGCAGAATCTCTGCCAAACACTGGTGAGTAAACTACAGACACAATCACCAACTAAATATTTGAACAAGGTTTAGTTTAATCAGAATCTGAGGCTGGTACGTCTGTTTTTAAATATACCGAATATATGCCTCCCTCAGACACTTTAAAACCAAAATAAAAGACCGCGGTGAAGTTAGTTTTAGGTTGGATATTCGACGGACATTCGCGGACCAGCCAGGAGCGTCAGTTTCCCCTGCTGCTGGCTGTATTACGACGGGGAGATCTTCTGTGCGAAACGAGGCTTTCACTTAGGGACCATCAACAAATGACTTTTCAATTACACAAGAAAAATGTTGTTTTTAATAAATCGACAGCTTCTCGATCGTGTGAATGTGAAGCAAATTCACTCTAGAGCATACATTTATTGACCACACCTCTTTTTATTGCATTTTAATACTTTAAATATTTTATATTAATATTTTGATGGAAAAATTAGCTTATTTCTTCAATACCTTCCAGGTCATGTGACCTAATCACTCAAACTCAACGCTGGCTCAAAGAACTACACTGGCTGCATAGGACACACCTCTTTTTATTCCATTTTAATACTCTAAATATTTTATATTAATATTTTGATGAAAAAATTAGCTTATTTCTTCAATACCTTCCAGGTCATGTGACCTAATCACTCAAACTCAATGCTGGCTCAAAGAACTACACTGGCTGCGTAGGACACACCTCTTTTTATTCCATTTTAATACTCTAAATATTTTATATTAATATTTTGATGGGAAAATGAGCTTATTTCTTCAATACCTTCCAGGTCATGTGACCTAATCACTCAAAATCAATGCTGGCTCAAAGAACTACACTGGCTGCATAGGACACACCTCTTTTTATTCCATTTTAATACTCTAAATATTGTATATTAATATTTTGATGGGAAAATGAGCTTATTTCTTCAATACCTTCCAGGTCATGTGACCTAATCACTCAAAATCAATGCTGGCTCAAAGAACTACACTGGCTGCGTAGGACACACCTCTTTTTATTCCATTTTAATACTTTAAATATTTTATATTAATATTTTGATGGAAAAATTAGCTTATTTCTTCAATACCTTCCAGGTCATGTGACCTAATCACTCAAACTCAATGCTGGCTCAAAGAACTACACTGGCTGCTTAGGACACACCTCTTTTTATTCCATTTTAATACTTTAAATATTTTATATTAATATTTTGATGGAAAAATTAGCTTATTTCTTCAATACCTTCCAGGTCATGTGACCTAATCACTCAAACTCAACGCTGGCTCAAAGAACTACACTGGCTGCATAGGACACACCTCTTTTTATTCCATTTTAATACTTTAAATATTTTATATTAATATTTTGATGGAAAAATGAGCTTATTTCTTCAATACCTTCCAGGTCATGTGACCTAATCACTCAAACTCAATGCTGGCTCAAAGAACTACACTGGCTGCTTAGGACACACCTCTTTTTATTCCATTTTAATACTTTAAATATTTTATATTAATATTTTGATGGAAAAATTAGCTTATTTCTTCAATACCTTCCAGGTCATGTGACCTAATCACTCAAACTCAACGCTGGCTCAAAGAACTACACTGGCTGCATAGGACACACCTCTTTTTATTCCATTTTAATACTTTAAATATTTTATATTAATATTTTGATGGAAAAATGAGCTTATTTCTTCAATACCTTCCAGGTCATGTGACCTAATCACTCAAAATCAATGCTGGCTCAAAGAACTACACTGGCTGCATAGGACACACCTCTTTTTATTCCATTTTAATACTTTAAATATTTTATATTAATATTTTGATGGAAAAATTAGCTTATTTCTTCAATACCTTCCAGGTCATGTGACCTAATCACTCAAACTCAACGCTGGCTCAAAGAACTACACTGGCTGCATAGGACACACCTCTTTTTATTCCATTTTAATACTTTAAATATTTTATATTAATATTTTGATGGAAAAATGAGCTTATTTCTTCAATACCTTCCAGGTCATGTGACCTAATCACTCAAACTCAATGCTGGCTCAAAGAACTACACTGGCTGCCAGGATAACAACCTCCATCTCAACTTCAGCAAAACCAAAGAGCTGATTGTGGACTACATGAAGCAGCAGAGAGAGGGTCACGCCCCCATCGCCATCAATGGGACTACGGTGGAGAGAGTCAGCAGCTTCAGGTTCCTTGGGGTCCACATCACTGAGGACCTGACATGGACTCTTCACACCACCACCATCACCAAAAAAGCTCGACAGCGGCTCTTCTTCCTCCGCAGGCTGAGGAGGTTCAACATGGACTCCAGGATACTCTGCAACTTCTACAGGTGCACCATAGAGAGAATCCTGACCTTCTACAGGTGCACCATAGAGAGCATCCTGACTGGCTGCTTCACGGCCTGGTACGGCAGCTGCACTGCCCTCAATCGTAAGGCCTTACAGAGGGGGGTGAAAACTGCACAGAACATCACCAGGACGGAGCTGCCATCCATGGAGGACCTTTACTCCCAGCGGCTCAGGAAGAAAGCCCTCAGGATTATCAACGACCCCCATCACCCCAGCCACAAACTGTTCTGTCTGCTGCCGTCTGGCAGGCGTGACCGCAGCATCCGGACTAAAACCACCAGACTCAGGGACAGTTTCATACCACAGGCAATAAGACTGCTAAACAACTGAACTGCTGAAACAACATCTGTTAAACACCTGAACTGTTGAAACAACATCCATAACATTCATCTGCTACTTAGTAATTATTTATCTATTTCTCTAATATATCATTCCAATAGACCGGCTGGTCCTGTGGCTCGTCTTTTTTTTGTAACTAGCTGATGCTCAATCTAATCCTGTTCTTCAAAGTCACTGTCAGACTCAGAATTCTCAGAAATGTGATCCTCACATTCTGAAACACCTTCCTCTTCCTCTACATCATCATCAAATGGTTCTCTCTCTTCCAAAATCATTTGCAAGGCCCTCTGAGCAGAGAATCATTTGGCCATCTTGATCAGTTGTGATAAGACACACACACACACACACCCACACACCCACACACACACACACACACACACACACACACACACACACACACACACACTTTCCACACTTGTGTTAGCCCCGAACATCCTGTATCTAATATAAATGTGTAGGGGGGGGTGTACAGTGGGTGGTCATTGAAAATGTGTTCTGATATATGTTCTTCACAGAAAATTAGCCAACGCCATTGAGTGTGAGTTTGAACAAATAATGTATCATATCATTTTTCTTTACATAAATAATGAAACACTATACAAGGGTTAATATTAATACATTTTTGTATGGAAAATTCTGTTTATTTTTTCAATAGCTTCTCTGTCATGTGACCGAATGTCACACTCAATATTGTAGAAAGGAAAAAATAGTGGCAAATAAATGAAGTGGGAATTAAAACAAGTATGTATCTGAACTAAAAGTACTACAATTACCTACAAATGTACACAGATGGTTCTAAGAACAAAGAAGAGTGTGTTGGAGTTGGTATATACATCCCAGACTTTAAAATATCTATCTCAAAAAGAGCGTCTGATCAATTATCAGTGTATACAGCAGAAATGCTTGCTGTAATAATAGGATTACAGTGGGTTGAAGAGGTCAGACCAGATAGGGTGGTGATATGCACAGATTCATTGTCCATATTAAAAAGCACAGATTCATTGTCCATATTAAAAAGCATGGTATAGATCTGCAGTTCTGCTGGGTGCCTGCACATGAGGGGGTGAAAGGGAACGAGTGTGCTGATAAATGAGCAAAAAGTGCACTACAAAAGGAAATAACATTACCAGTTCAACTTGGTAAAGGAGAAGGAAAAGCAGTAATTAAGAAGAAAGGGATGGAGATCTGGCAGAAAAGGTGGGAGGAAGACCAGAAAGGCAAAGAGTATCACAAAGTGCAAAAGACAATTACAATTAATGTTTATAAAGAAATAAACAGAAGGGAGGAAATCATGATAGCTAGACTCAGACTAAATCACACGGCTTTGAATGGTACGCTGTATACTGTATCATGGGGAAAAGTGACAGTGACAAGTGTGGGAGTTAAAGAAGATGTAGAACACATCTTGTTACATTGTGACATCTTTAAAGCTGAAAGAGAAAAACTAAAGGATAACGTTTTAGAGGCAGAGAATGGAGTGTGGTTGGTATTTTGGGAACAGAAGGAGAGGGAGTAAGAGCTACCAGAAAGGCATTGTTTACCTTCCTGAGTGAAACTGGGGTAGGAAAAATAATTTAACATTAGGTCAGGAAAGATCATAGGTTTTTTATTTTATGTTTTTTGTTGATTTATTTATTTATTTATATATATTTTTTGATTAGATCATAGATACGTCCATGAGTTAAGAGATGGAATGATATGATAATTCACACTCATGTACAGGTGGTGGTATGCACCTTTAAAGTTGTTTGCAATCCGCCAAAAATAGAGAGTAGAAGAAGAAGACATATATGCCATTTTAGAAACCAGATCACATTGTTTGATCTAAAAATGGTGCGCTTCAAAAAAGGCAAGAAAAAGAAAGCTTTAGACCTCTGGCAACAAGCAGGAGGTAGAGATTTCATCACCAGGTCTTTCATTTCTCATGGTTTTAGTGAAGTTAATGTTACACCTGAGCAGTGGTCCTCAGTTACACTTACAGTGTTTAAAAGTAATAAGAAAGAGCATCTTAAGTGGTTGAGGGTCATCTGGGGTGAAGACCGACGCGGAGTCCGGACTGAGGTGCTTCAAGCAGGTACTGTTAAAAAATAACTTTGATGAGCCCCAGAGCAGAGTCCTGCCTCGGATACCCGGCGGATAACCCGCAAAATAGTTGTGTAACGGGCAAAACATACATGTAGGCCTGTATCTAACCACGGGTGCGGGGACAGAAGAAAGAAAAAAATGTAATGCAGGCGAGCAGCGGGTGGGAACAAAAATATGTTGTGGTTTTTCTCTGGAGAAATCCGAAATGAAAATGAAGATTCATTCATAACC